AACTACTACAAAATCTGATGTTATCCGGTTTGTTACCAAGACCCGATCTGCATGGAACCATTATAGAACAGGGGTCTTGAAACCCTAAACTACAGAAAAAGAATATATAAGAAATGTTTACCTCTCCGCTTCCATTGCTAACTAAGAAAGGAAGTATGCATATCAAAGAAAGCAGAATAAAGTAAACAATGATTAAGAAGTCATATAGTGAGGATTTATTTTTAAGAACAGGAATTGAAAACAACTAATTGAAAAATTAAAGAAATAGTCCACTTAACTGTAGACTCCTCTAGGCTAAATGTTACCAGAATTGGCTTTGAGTTAACTACAACTGTAGTTGCAAAGTTCGTACACTCTTCCAAGTAGTACAAGAAAATAAAAATACTTTGCTAATCTCCTTTTCACACTTGCCCAATAGTTCACATTTCCTTACAAGTAGTATGAGCAAGCAGAAACCCTTCTCAACTCTCTCCCTCGATTGTCCGGAAGAATGAATTGTAGTGCTTTTTCTTAACTACTAGAGAAGGAAATGCGGGTTTCATTGGTTTGCTTCTAGAATGGAGAAGTGTCAAGGCTGAATTATTAAAACATAAGGTCTGAATGCTATATTATTTGCTGTCTCGAGGGATATAGTAATATTGCAGACTAAAAGTCCATGATATTGCCAGCTATTAGGGGATCAATATCTAGCTTAGGTCTATCATGTTTGTAGCCTTCATATAACTACAAATAGTGAAGGTTGTCATGCACTTCTGTTTCTAGAGAAAGGGTACAGAAGGGGTTTGAGGGCTAGCATGCAAGTGGGACTGGCACAGGTGAATGCTAGTTCCTAATTGCAATTTCGGTAGCTGCAAATACCTTGATGTGAACCTCATGATCAAGGCTACCATCAATAGGTAATCTGACCTCAAAATCCTGAAAAGACTTTTGAATAAGGCCTTGTTTCTCCTGACAGAAAGCAGACCAGGTGTAACGGAGATGGCAGGGACAAGGTGTAGCTAAAGGGTATCCGCGTGACAGGGTAAGAGCTGGAGAGGGATGTGAGGGTTGAGGTAGAAGTAGAGGTAGGGGCAGAGATGAGAGTAGAGGAAGAGGCAGAGACAGGATCAGAGGTAGGAGCAGAGACAGGAGTAGAGGCAGGGGTGGAGACAGGAGCAGAGGCAGGGGCAGAGGAGGAGTAGAGGCAGGAGACAGGAGCAAGACTGGAGAGGAGATATCTTTGTGTTGCTAGAATACAAAAGATACAGACTAAGGAGAGAAAAGGGAAAATACAAGGAGAGGTGCCTCAGCACCCTTTTAAGCAAAAACAGAACTTCCCAAGAGCACAACTGTGTTGATAAAGAAAAACATGTCACGACTTCTGAAACCCTATTTTTTTAGCTCATCACTATTTTGCCCTAACCTAATCCTAACATTATTCAATCTACTAAGAACACTACAAAACTTAAGACCTCTCTATTTACCTCAGGCTATATAGATGCTAGACTGTAACATTATCCCCCTCTTATGGCTGAGCTCCTGCAAAGCATTGGCCCTCGCTTATCAAGAAATCTTTTATGGAATTCCTGCAACCTATCTGGTACATTCTCTAAATCAAAATGAGGTTGCCATGTTGGTTCCTCATATCCTTCCCACCATACTAGATACTGTAGTTGTCAGCGGTAGCGGCGTGAGTCTAGAACTTCGGCCACTTCCCACTCCGGGCTTCCTTCGATCTCCACTGGTACTGATTCTGGTATTGTAGCCGGTACAGGTACTTGGTTATTGGTTTTGTTTTATGTTTTGTTTTAAGTATCGCTTTGATACTTGGTTTGTTTTAAGTATCATTTGATACTTGGTTTTGTTTTATGTTTTGTTTTAAGTATCGCTTTGATACTTGGTTTGTTTTAAGTATCGTTTGATACTTGGTTTTGTTTTATGTTTTGTTTTAAGTATCGCTTTGATACTTGGTTTGTTTTAAGTATCGTTTGATACTTGGTTTTATTTTATGTTTTGTTTTAAGTATCGCTTTGATACTTGGTCTGTTTTAAGTATTGTTTGATACTTGGTTTTGTTTTATGTTTTGTTTTAAGTATCGCTTTGATACTTGGTTTGTTTTAAGTATCGTTTGATACTTGGTTTTGTTTTATGTTTTGTTTTAAGTATCGCTTTGATACTTGGTTTGTTTTAAGTATCGTTTGATACTTGGTTTTGTTTTATGTTTTGTTTTAAGTATCGCTTTGATACTTAAAGAGTTTTACCAAAGAGTATCAATTGATACCTTTGATTAGTTTCATTCATGCTAGACATGAACAGATTTGTGTATTTAAAGACCGCCTGTTTCTACCATAGAAAAGGC